TATGATCTAACACCTGACACAACTTTAACCATGATACTGAGCATGTGAAGCCCCTATGTCTTGACAGAAGGCCAAGCCTTGACCTCAAAGACTTCATCACAAAACGCATGGGTCCACCGACAAAGCGTCAAATCAAGCGTCATTCTCCAGCATGAGCAAACAAGATGGCCCTGATCTTCCCGCAAAGCCCGTTAGTCTGGATTATAGATGGACTGATGTAGTTGAGTAATGCCGATCCCTCAATCGATGTAAGCCTTGCATCACTTACATCTCTTTATCTCTGAATCTGTCAAAACACCCATTTAGTGTTCTGTTCTGGTCATGTGTATGTTGGCTATGTGTGACTGCGAGGTGTAGGATATAGCAAGCCCTCATCAGCATTTGAATTGACGTTGGAATTTTCTGCCTCTCAAGTAGCTCTCTATGTGATAGACAATGGTAGGTACTCAAACTTTAGATCAGCATTGCCCTGTGCTGCGGGTTAGAGCTCTAGCTCTCGATCCTGGGGGAGTGAGAGTCTGGAGAATCAAAGCCTTCAACCCAAAGAGACAGACACAGTGACCCGTCCGCAATGAGTGGGAATCCAACTGTCCGAATCCTCGTTATCACAATACACCGGATTAAAGGGGGCAACGGCACGCCGCTGTCGGGATGTGAGCGAAACACATGATATACACATTGATCCAGACTCAATAGAAACGAGATGATAATAATACAAACAAAAGCTGTTGTAATTCTTTAAGTAACCCATACTGTACAAAACCTCATAAACAGCCGCTTTATATCTTGCCTCCAGTAATCTGCTCCCCCAGCTTCTTGACTCTGCCCTGGATAAGGTCCCAGCGAGCTGCTTCGCTCTTCTTCGAATCGTTGACAATGTTTTGCACTGTCGGAGGAACACCAAGGTTCCAAATATTCTCACCCTGCTGGTGGTCACTGCGCCACGCCTCGTTCTCGCCTTCGGGGAACACCTTCTCGATCTCGGCTGCAAGTTGAGCCTCAGTGGTGATAAAGGTACGAGCGTTCACGTAAAGTGCTTGTAACGAGTCCTGACGCTCGAACTCATCCTGAGCCTTCTTGCTCTCTAATTTTGCACGAGACTGAGCAAGGCGCTCTTCTCTGTCAGGATCAGGCAGCACCGGGGTATGTTTAGGCAGCATCTCCTGGACAACAGAGGGACGAGTCAAGCGCTCATCGTCTCTTTCTAGCTGCCGAAGAACTTGTTCGCGTTTTCTTTGTCTCTGAATGCTGCGGGACGCCATGAACTTGTCCGTCCGCTGCTTGCGGCTGTGCAGTTCGAGGAGACCTTCCCGAAGATTTTGCCGCCTCATGTCGGCCATTCGCCGCTTCCAATCCTTGTATTCAGCGAGTGGGTCATTGGGGTCGATTTTGATCTCCTTCAACGGGAGTGGTGTCGCAGCAGCAATGTATTCCTCGGTCGGCTTGTCTACTCGGCGGGCAGGGAAGAGCTCTCGAGGAACGGGCAGCGTACCCTTGACTCGGGGTTTCACTCGTAGATCCGGCTGAATTGTTTGAGGGACGTCAACGAAATTTGGAGACTCTGGTCCGACTCGACGGCAGGAGGAAGAGGAGAAGCTACGGACTTGCGCCGTGGCAGCCCTGCAGTTGCGGAAGAGCGACATGTTGGACTGACGCCGTTCGCTCACGCCCCCAAGCAAGCGGCAAGTCTCCGTTGAATAGAAAAGGAGCCACCGGAGATTGAGGAGCGAGCAATCTCAAATCTTCGCAAGTGGCCTGACAAGAAGGTAGCAAGCAATGAACGATCGAAGACGGCGGTCTCACTGTCATAGGAGTCGGGAAAGATGAAGCGGATTTTCTTGCACTTGGTCCGTGCATCACAGAGCTTGGCACCCACGCTGGGAAAAAAAAAAATAATCTCACTGAAATTTTCTTTTCCCCTTCTCTTCCTTCTCTTGCGCTTTGCCAACTCTTATTTTTCTACTCCTGCCTTTGGGACGTTTTGAAATTATTTTCTGAAGGCCTTATCAAGGAGTAGCATTCATCATGGGTACAGGAAAGAAGGAGGCGAACCGTAAGGTACGCCAGGGGAAGGTTGGAGATGGCATGGCCAATGTCAGAACGAAGGGTGAAAACTTCTACAGGTATGCTTTATGTGCTTTATTCAGCGTGAAAAAAATGGTTTGCTGACTTAATGGAAGAGATGCGAAGAAGGTCAAGCATCTGAACATGTTCAAGGATGGCAAGCCTCGACGTGACGCTGCTGGAAACATCACAGTCGCCGCCTCGTACCAGTCACGAGACGCACCCACGGCTCGGATTGAACCCAACCGCAAATGGTTCGGTAACACAAGAGTGATTTCTCAGGAGGCTTTAACATCCTTCCGCGAGGCAGTCGCTGAACGTGCCTCGGACCCGTACTCGGTTCTCCTCAAAACCAACAAGCTTCCTATGAGCTTAATCAGAGACAATGTTCACACTGTGAATGGACTGAAGCAGCATGAAGCGAAGATGGCCACTGAGACTGCCCCTTTCGGTGATACATTTGGTCCTAAGGCTCAAAGAAAACGTGTCAAGCTGGGTGTTGCGTCTCTGGAAGACCTGGCTGGAGAGACAGTCAAGATGCATGACGCCTACGTTGAAAAGACGGACCAAGCCACTCACGAAGATGGAACAATCATCGCTTCCGGCGATGTGTCTACCGATGACAAGACTTTCACTGAAGCACCCACTGCTCGAGAGTCCGTCTTCTCCAAAGGACAGAGCAAGCGAATTTGGAACGAGTTGTACAAGGTCATCGATTCTTCAGATGTTGTCATTCACGTGCTTGACGCTCGTGATCCCGAAGGCACACGTTGCCGGAGTGTTGAGAAGTATATTCGTGAGGAAGCTCCCCATAAGCACTTGATCTTTGTGCTTAACAAGTGTGATCTGGTTCCTACGAGCGTGGCAGTAAGTA